TGTTTGAGGAACAGCAGGTAAGCCAGTGTAGCTGCATAATTAGAAATAAAGTCCATGAGGTAACTCAAGGCCAGAGCGTGCACGTCATCCCAGGCTATGGGGAGGATTTCAGGTCTTAGTCTAATCTCAATGGGAAGCCATTGGAAGGTCTGGGCAGGATTCTCTGTTATTGTCCTATGATTTTGATTCTAGTTCTGCCATCGCCTTGCCCATGTGAACTTGAGTGAGCTCCCAGTCTCTTAGTTTGCTGTTAGGTAACATGTGGATAAAGATGCTAATCCCCAAGTGACATTAAAAAAATTAGCTCTTGGTTTACAAAGAACTTGAGGCCATCAGATGAAAGGTATGATATAGAGTAATTACCACTGTTCTATATAGTCATTTTAACAGCTGTCTTCTTTTCAAAGTGGAAAAAAATAACAAGGTAGACCTGTGCCCTAAATAGCAACATTAAAAAATGTCATGTTTCTGGGACTTCCCTGTTGATCCAGTGGCTAAAACTCTGCTTTCCCAATGCACGGGGTCTGGGTTCAGTCCCTGGTCAGGGAACAGATCTCACATGCTGCACCTAAGAGTTCATATGCCAATAACTAAATATCTTGCATGCTGCAACTAAGACCTGGCACAGACAAATACATAAGTATATTTTGTGCTCAGATGCTCAGTCATGTCCAACTCTTTGCAACCCAGTGAACTATATAGCCTGCTAGGCTCCTGTGTCCATGGGATTCTTCCAGCACGAATACTGGAGTGGTTTTCCATTTCCTCCTCCAGGGGATCTTCCCGACCAAGAGATCGAACCGAGTCTTTTATGTCTCCTGCATTGGCAGGTAGATTCTTTACCACTAGCACCACCTGGGGAACCCCACATTTATATAAATTTATAAAGTCATGTTTGTGATTTCCGTTTTGATTCCATATGAGAGATTTAACTTATTTGCATAGTACATCATGCAAAATGCCGGGCTGGATGAAGCACAAGCTGGGATCAAGATTGCTGGGTGAAATATCAGTAACCTCAGATATGCAGATGATACCACCCTTATGGCAGAAAGCAAAGAGGAACTGAAGAGCCTTTTGATGAAAATGAAAGAGGAGAGTGAAAAAGATGGCTTAAAACTCAACATTCAGAAAATGAAGATTGTGTCATCTGGTCCCGTCACTTCATGGCAAATAGATGGGGAAACAATGGAAACAGTGATAGACTATTTTCTTGGGCTCCAAAATCACTGCAGATGATGACTGCAGTCATGAAATTAAAAGACACTTGCTCCTTGGAAGAAAAGCTATGACAAACCTAGACAGCACGTTAAAAAGCAGAGACATTACTTTGCTGACAAAGGTCTGTCTAGTCAAAGATATGCTTTTTCCAGTAGCCATGTACGGATTTAAGAGCTGGACCATAAAGAAAGCTGAGCGCTGAAGAATTGATGCTTTTGAACTGTGGTGTTGGAGAAGACTCTTAAGAGTCCCTTGGACTGCAAGAGATCAAACCAGTCAATCCTAAAGGAAATCAGTCCTGAATATTCATTGGAAGGACTGATGCCGAAGCTAAAGCTCCAATACTTTGGCCACCTGATGCGGAGAACTGACTCATTGGTAAAGACCCTGATGCTGGGCAAGATTGAAGGCTGGAGGAGAAGGGGATGACAGAGGATGAGATGGTTGGATGGTGTCACTGAATCGAAGGATATGAGTTTGAGCAAGCTCTGGGAGTTGGTGATGGACAGGGAAGCCTGGCGTGCTGCAGTCCATGGGGTTGCAGAGTCGGACACGACTGTGTGACTGAACTGAACTGAGAGATTTAAGATATTCCTTTCTTCTTTGAAAAGTATCTTAAAAGCTTCTCAGAAGTTGAAACCCAACATATATCATAAAATATTTGAATGAGAAGAAATCTTAGAGATCTTATGGATCTGTTGTGGGGACAGTCTGATGTCTATAGAAATGACTTTTTAAGAAATTTCCTTACCAAGCAGACTGTATGCTTTAAGCCTGTGTAGGAAATCACTTGGGGATTATGGCCCCCAGCTGGGAAGGCAGGTGTGTTATTTGTTCATTTCCAATAAAGTTATATGCAGATAATGAAAAACAAAAGGAGGTTATAGATCGTGTAGTCTGATCCCATCACTTTACAACTGAGGAAATGGAGAGAAGGCAAGTCGTGAGGACAGTTGCACTGCTGGGGAGCAGGAGTGCTGGGTGAGACTCAAGATCTGTGATTCCAGGCATCTGCTCTCTTCCCAGATCTGCAAGCTACATTCCTACCTCAGTGTCACATTTAGACATAATTGCAGTGTTACAGGAAGTGATTGACTGTAATTTCAGATCCCTTTCCATCTCTATTGTAATGATCGTGCCTTGCTAATATTGGAAGTGCCGGCTGCCACAAAGCATCTTTGCTTGGTGAGGCAGCTGTACATGAAACAAATTTTGCAGTCTATAATTTGACTCTGTGCCACAACTGATTTGCTCTGTATCTTTCCTTCCTCTGGTGCTGGCTAAGGACTCTGCCAGTGGATTCTGTAGACTGTACCACTGAGTCTGTGAACCTTGAGTTTTAGAGTTGATCATGGTTCAGATTCTAATCTGGTTGTAATTTTTTATGTTAAGATTTACCTGGAAAATTTATTTTTATCATACATAGTTTTTGTGATAACTTTTAAGAAGTGGTATTCTGTTCATTTGAAATTAGCTCATTGTGTCATTTTAGGTCTTCTGGCTCCATCAGTTTAAGAACAGATATGAACCATTGTCATAAAAATAAGCAATATATACACACACACATATATAATGACCATTATGAGGTCTTCTGGCTCCATCAGTTTAAGAACAGATATGAACCATTGTCATAAAAATAAGCAATATATACACACACACATATATAATGACCATTATGATTAACTTTTTCCTTGTATATGAATCTAGATTTCTTCAGTTACAGTTGCAGTAAACTTCAATATGGGTAAAATGAGATCACACAGACACACACATACACACTTTCTGTACCTTTGTAATATAGTAATATTTACTTGATTGGCATTGAAAACCAAACTGGCATTTTTCTGTTTGAGCTTCTTTCTACTGATTCCATATATATAGCCCACACAGTCCCTCCCTGAAATAGATGCTATAAGCATTTACCAGTCTAACCTGTTAGGGTGTTCCTCATACTGGTATATTTTGTCATTCATTCCAAAATCAATGGTATTTGAACAAGTCAAAAATAACTACAAGCGTATGATTTCTTTTTTACTGGTTTTCCTTAAGGGAAATGCCCTTTAACGTATTTTTATATTTTGCCTACTCATGCCATAGAGAAATAAATTGTTGATATTTTGGATACTTTGCCAGAAGTTAAGTAGTTTTCAAGAATAATCTTGCCAGATACTACTCTTTCCTTAATTAAAGTTCTTAAAATAGTCAGAGATCATACTGGATAGTCATATGGGTTATTGAAAACAGCAAGCTTAAATCTGAAAACTGACTTCTGTAAGACAAGATGCATAGGAATGCATTTCTTCAATATGATCATCAAGAGGCTATTTTCTATTCTGTCTCCCCATTCCCACCCTGAAATCATTTTAGATCTCTTGTCCTGGGGAATTTTACTGTAACAAATGCTGGACATATCTTGCAGTCTGTGGCTTCTTTCAGCTCTGAATCCCCCTTTCCCACCTCCTTCAGCAGGTCCAAGACTCTTTAAGGGAGAATAGAGGGGCAGTGTCTGAGTCTTTGTGACCCCATGGACTGCAGCCCACCAGGCTCCTCTGTCCATGGGGATTCTCCAGGCAAGAACATTGGAGTGGATTGCCACGCCCTCCTCTAGGGAATCTTCCCAACCCAGGGATTGAACCCAGTTCCCCAGCATTGCAGGCAGATGTTTACCAACTGAACCACCAGGGAAGCCCAAGAAGACTGGAGTGGGTCTTCCCGACCCAGTAATCAAACTGGGGTCCCCTGCATTGCAGGTAAGATTCTTAGCCAGCTGAGCCACCAAGGAAGCCCAGAGGGGCTTCCCAGGTGGTGCTAGTGGTAAAGAACCTGCCTGCCAGTGCAGCAGATGTAAGAGATGTGGGTTCGATCCCTGGGTTGGGAAGATCCCCTGGAGGAAGCACAGCAACCCACTCCAGTATTCTTGCCTGGAGAAATCCCATGGACAGAGGAGCCCAGGGAGCTACAGTCCGGAAGGTCACAAAGATTTGGGCACAACTGAAGCGACTGAGCTTGTACACATGCAGAGGGACAGAATAAATGCATCAGGCTGTCTTCCAGCTCTTCTCCAATTCCTGTGGATTTCACCGTGAGTTGCAGCAAGGGTACTCCTTAACTGTTAATCCCTAATTTCAAATGGATGGCCTGATCCCATTGGGCCTTTTGACGTAGATCTCAGCCTACAGGGCTTTCAGCAGCAACTTGTAGCAAGTGATGGTGCTCAGTGTTTCCCTCTGAGTAATTTCTAAGCTGGACTCTCAGGAATAGGGACCCTGGAGCAGCATAAGTGAGTGCAGTAAGGTCTGCAGGTGTGATATAGATACATGATACAGGGTATGTGTGTGTGTGTGTGTGTGTGTATTGCATATATATATATATATATATATATATATATAAAATGTATATGTAAGTGTGTCTGCATATATATATATATACACACATACAACTTGGATTTGTAGTGATGTGAATGAAATAATAAGAGTCCAGTTATGGTTTGCAATTAAACAGGAAAAGGATGCTGTAGTGAAATGGATAGTGATTCATATGCATAAATGCTTTATAAACTTTAAAGAGTTAAAATTTCTCCAGATATTTGGCTGAGAGTTAAACCACTTGACTTCAAGCTCTCCATCTTAAGAAAGTGAAGATCATGGTGATTCCTAATGACTTCTCCAAGTTGTCTGCAAATTATCCAGATATAATGTCTGTGGCAAACCCATCAAGGTGTTTTGTTCAGATGCCGTGTATATGTAACAAATGTGTCATTGTTGGTTTTTTCCCCATAGGTGTTCAAGAGACGGTATTTTTACTTAACTCAGCTTCCTGATGGTTCATATATTCTCAATTCATATAAAGATGAGAAAAATTCAAAAGAATCCAAAGGTTGCATCTACTTGGATGCTTGCATCGATGTTGTTCAGGTAGGGCTTATGGAGGTAATATTTCTTTCTCTTTCTGGAAGAGGATTGTTGATCTGTTAAGAACCTCAGTATTTTTCTGCCTTGATGAATTGCCTTTCCACCCACCAAAACGTGCATACTAAACACTCAGGATCCTCTTCAGAATCCCACTCTCCCTCTGTGCTGCCATTCAAGTGCTTTCCCGGTCCTCTGGAGTCTGCTCCAAAGTGCCTCTTGAATCCCTCACCTTCTTTCCATTCTCACTGTCTTCCTCCTGTTCTCTCTTATCCTCTCTTGCCTAGAGTCATGTCTTCTGCCTTCAGATGCGTTGTCGTGCTCCACTCCATCTTCCTGAGATACAGATGGGGTCCTTCACTTGTCTGTTCAAAACCTTTTGGCTCTTGATTTATTGTCTTGCATAGTGAGCTCTAAAGATCCTACCAAGGCATTGCAGGCCCACAGTGATTTGACTTTTCCTACTACCCCGCCACCCCCACCCCTGGCATCCCCTTCATACATTCTGTGCTCGCATCACTCCAGGCTAAGCACTCCACAGAGTGTCACACACACGTGGCTTTCTTATATTTGTTCCTCTGCCCAGCACATACTTCCTGTTTGAACCTTATCTTTTAAGACTTGGCTCAAATGGGCCTTGTACCATGGAACATTTTTTGTTTTCTTCCTCACACTCACTCCCACTAAGTGGAACTATGCTCCAGTTCCCCTGTGCTACCATTGTGCTGAATTCTTCCCATTCCTTTTTCCATTATAGAGACCATGTCATATTCATGTCCGAGCCCCTTATAATAATTAGGAAAGTTGTATATACAGTAGGGGCTTAATACATGTTTGCTGATTTGAGTCACTGAGGGGGCATGGATGTTAGGGTTAGTATAGACAGGGTGGGGAGTAGAGGACAGAGAGATGATTAAGTAGGAAATTGATTGACCAAGCAATAGGAGCCAAGACTACAGAGCCAGCCCGGCCTGGTCGACTAGAAGGGGCACTGCGTTGATGGGGAGGCAGGAGATGTCGGTTCAACACTCCCAACCTACCTGAATCTTAGTTTACAGAAGTGTAAAGTGGGATTAATAATATCTTCTCACTTTATTAAGTGAGATTGTCATGAGAAGCAAATGAAAAAACACTTTAAAATACAAAATGTACAATGATCTATGTGAATAGAAGGTACTTTCTTTTATATATTGAATTAGCAAAAAGTTCATTTGTTTTTTTCTCTGTAACATTACAGAAAACGGAACAAACTTTTTGGCCAACCCAGTATATGTGTGTGGCACCTTTCTTATCTTACTGGAAAGAAGGCAGCACATACAATTCCCAGATTTTCTCAATTAGCTCTAGTACAGTTTGACCTTCCTTTAGTGGGGCTCCCAGGCTCTGATTTCCCCTCTATTTATGATTCCCTCCTCCCAAATATTTTCAGATATATAAATCTTTAGGACTTGCTACAGCAGTTTAATTTCATTCTTTACTTTGAAGATGAGGAGGAGGAACTTTCTTGGATCCTTCTTGAATAGTGACCATGCGATGGAAAATTATTGATTCATGAGCCTTCCTTGAAATTAATGCTGAGGTTTGGGAGCGGGGGACAGTGTGTCATTTCTTTTGTCATGACAGAGAAAGCGGTAATATAAAAGAAGGTGTCGTCATGTTTGATGAAAGGAAGAGGCTTTGCTTTTCTTGTGTGCTAGGATTCAGCCTAGGCCATTTCCATCATTTTTATTGAGAACCACATTTTAATATGAACCAACTACAGTCTTCTTTTATGCTTCTTTCATACTGTGATGAAAATTAATTGGATAGTGATATTGTATTTTATGGTGTGATATAAAGCAACTACCAGATTTATTTCAGGTCACATTTGAGCTTGTTTTTAAGGGCTGCTTTTGAAAATCTATAAATATGCCAGGAAAACTTCCAGCAGGGTGGAAATAGTAAAACATTGGCTTATTTTTGTCGAGTTAGTTTGATTATTTTAATGTGAAGGATGTCAGAAGGCCTTAAATGATAATACCCACTCAACATGTAGTATTTTATGCCAACTTTGTGCTTATATTTCTGCGTTCAATACTGGTGGTGGTTTGGTTGCTAAGTCGTGTCCGACTCTCGTGACCCCATCGACTGCAGCCCACCAGCTCCTCTGTCCATGGGATTCTCCAGGTAAGAATACTGGAGTGGGTTGCCATTTCCTTCTCCAGTACTCAATACTGAGGGGAATAAAAAAGATGTTTGACATGGTCTTTACATCATCTTGGAATTTCTATTGCTTGTTGAAAGAAGCAAATTCTTTCATGAAAGTATTGACATACATATGTGCTGAGCTGAGGTAAAAATAAACTCATGAAATCTAATATTAAAAGGGTGACTAAACTAACTGAACACATGCCTTTGTTTTTTCCCTCCAGTGCCCCAAAATGCGCCGTCATGCTTTTGAACTCAAGATGTTAGATAAGTATAGCCATTATCTGGCTGCTGAAACTGAGCAGGAAATGGAGGAATGGTTGATAACTTTGAAAAAGATTATTCAGATCAATACTGACAGTTTAGTGCAAGAGAAAAAGGAGACGGTGGAAATAGCACAAGGTCAGAATTTTTTAATGATTCATTATTGAAGTAAAGCCCTTGTGTTTAATCCATGGGAACATCTTTTGTGTAGGGTGAATACAGAACTCTTAATCGTGAGGGTTGACCTACTTCTTCATTAAAAGTGACTGTGGAGGTTGATAGGTTTTTCTTTTTTTTAGAAGAGTTGATGCTCCATTGGCTCTGACATATGAAATATAACCAGACTGAAAACAGATAGGGGATTCATGGCAGATTTTCAAAAGTCCATTAAAGTTTTCCCAGTGCTTTCATAATCAAAATTCTTTGTAATAAATCTAGTAGGAGAGGTTGGGGTGGGAGAGAGAGATAGTTAGGATATTCCTCTTAGGTGATTGTTAATGGTCTGCATGGTTTAGAACATCTGCTTTTAATGAATTTTCAGATGATGAAACTAGCAGCCAAGGAAAAGCCGAGAACATCATGGCCAGTTTGGAAAGGAGCATGCATCCGGAACTGATGAAGGTACACCTTTGTTATGGCAACTTGCCTTCAAGTGAGACAATGCTAATCCTGCATATTAAGGCTGTAATGCTGTATTCCATTTGGCAATGTCATTTCTAAGTTAAAAATCACAACAAATTAGTGAAACAGGTAGAGACTACAAAAGAAAAGTACACTGCTCAAGTTGGACCTGTTCAGTACCAACTAACAGTTTGGAAAGTGTTATTTTTTTTCCCTAGGTTCCAAGAAATGCTACTAGAGTCTTATGAATATTAATTTTATCTGCTATTTCTTATTCAGTGTATTGTTCTTACTGTTTAGTCACTAAGTCAAGTCTGACTCTTAGGACCCCATGGACCGTAGCCCACCAGCTTTCTACTGTCCATGGGATTTCCCAGGGAAGAATACTGGAGTGGGTTGCTATTTCCTTCTCCACATTCAGTTTAATTACTTTGTTATTCATAAGCTAAATATTATTCATTCGAGGCGCTATTGATGTAGATTGAACATGATATTCTAATAGTTTGTATATGTTAATTTCATATGAAAATCAGAGTCAGTCTGTATGTGAATGCCTATCTATATGTATATGAATAATTTTATCAGATAGAGATTTTGGCTAACAGACATAATTTGTGTTGATTACTCTGTTCTTTGGTGTCTGAAATGAGCCAGCTTTGAAAGTGTACAGGTGATTATCATGTCTATCTTACTAGGTTACATATTTTACTCTATGGACTCTATACTAGATTAGGAGGTTATACCCTATTTCTCCATTTAAATCCTTGCTGAACCTATTTATATTTTTACTTTATTCCTCCTCCTGAGCTATTAACTTATACAGGTTTAGACATTACTTTTTTCTATTTTATTTATTTATTTATTTTTCATTTATTTTTATTAGTTGGAGGCTAATTACTTTACAGTATTGTGGTGGTTTTTGTCATACATTGACATGAATCAGCCATGGATTTACATGTATTCCCCATACTTTCTTCTATTTTAAATTTACCATTCTCTTAAGTTTCAATGTTAATATATTTTAAAAAATTTTGAAACACACTCATGATCCCCTGTAGATTTTAATATGTTCCCTTTGAGTCTTTGTCATTTCAGACCATAGAGTCCATTATGTTTTTTCCTAAAGTGATAGAATCAGAATTGTGTATAATATACATTATATATATAACATATATACTCATGGATATATATGTGTATATATATATATATATATATATATTATATATATGTATCATGGATTAGTAGCACCATGGATTAGTTCTCTTGTAATTCTCTTTTACATCACAAGTCTCTTGTATTTCTTTTTTGTACTATGGGTTGAATAATATTCTTGGTTTTAAAAAAAGTGTACAGAAAGTATAAATACTTGATTAATAGCACAGTTCGTGATGACTGTAACTCTTGCCCAGCAAGAATTCTTTATCCACCTTAAGTACTTGGAAGTGGAGAAGAGTGTATATTTGAAGCTGTGTCAAGTTGCTAGTTTCTCATAAACTAGATCATTAAATAGCATTTAATACTGTTTTGAAGGAAGTGAAGTAATGATCCATGCGTGTGTATGTATGTATGTGTGTGTATGTATATGTATATATTTGTCTGTTTCAATTTTAGTATGGAAGAGAAACTGAACAACTAAACAAGCTCAGTAGAGGAGATGGAAGACAGAATCTCTTTTCTTTTGATTCAGAAGTTCAGGTATTAATGACATATTGCTTTAAATAATTGTTGCTTATTCAGATAAACAGTGTCTGAAATGTTGAAATCACTGATTTTTGAACTACTGGGCATATATTTATTGCTTTATATTTTTTTGTCTTGGTTGCTTTGAATAGGTAGCTTAATAACTAATTTCACTAGGAGGGCTGAAAATATACAATATACAAATAGTTTGAAACTATATATATGTATATATATATTCCTCTCAATTCTTTATATTGTTTTCACTTCATCTTACTCTTCAAAATCAATAAATTAAAGAATCTTTAACAATGGTTTCAGTGCTTTTAACACATTAAATACATTTGTAATCCAGTGTCAGTGAAAATGTATAGTATAAGGAACACCAAGTCATATGAGACATGTTTATTTTCCATTTTTGATGTAGGCCTGTAGAACTGGGATAATTTTCATGTCTGGTTTAATCTCACTTCAGAGGGAAAGCGGTTCAGGAAAGGACAAATTTATGTGCACATGTTTATTTCACGAGAGTGAGGCACTTTTAGTACTAAGATACTACTAAATATGTAGTTAATATTTAGTTCCATGATTCTTTTTACCTTTTATTTTTTAATTTATATTTTATATTTGTGTATAGTTGATTAACAATGTTGTGTTAGTTTCAAGTGTACAACAGAGTGATTCAGTTACACATATATATGTATCTATTCTTTTTCAGATTTTCTTCTGATTTAGGTAATTCCATGATACTTTCCATTTAAATTACCAATTTTTAAAAATGGAAAACTTCTACAGTGTCTAAATGTTACAAATATTTTTCTTAATGGAAAATACTTCACAAGTAAATAAATTACTTGAGGGAAGATGAATCTTTTTGTTTTCTTTTCAGTTTTTCTACATATTGTTGTTCAGTTGCTAAGTACTATCCGACTCTTTGCAACCCCATGGACTGCAGCAAGCCAGGCTCTTCTGTCCTCCACTGTCTCCCAGAGTCTGTGCAAATTCATGTCCATTCAGTCAGTGATGCTATCTAGCCATCCTATCCTCTGCCACCCCCTTCTCCTTTTGCCTTCAATCTTTCCCAGCATCAGGGTTTTTTCCCAGTGAGTTGGCTCTTTGCGTCAGGTGGCCAAAGTATTGGAGCTTCAGCTGCAACATCAGTCCTTCCAGTGAATATTCTGGATTGATTTCCCTTAGGATTGACTGGTTTGATTTCCTTGCTGTTCAAGGTACTCTCAAGAGTCTTCTCCAGCACCACAATTCGAAAGCATCAATTTTCCTACACTCAGCTTTCTTTATGGTCTAGCTCTTATATCCGTACACGACTACTGGAAAAACCATAGCTTTGACTATACAGACCTTTGTCAGTAATGTCTCAGCATTCTTTTGTTGACTATGAGGGTTACTCCATTTCTTCTAAAGGATTCTTGCCCACAGTAGTAGGTATAATGGCCACCTGAGTTAGATCGCCAATTCCTGTCCATTTTAGTTCATTGATTCCTAAAATGTTGATGTTCACTCTTGCCATCCTCTTTCTGCTTGACCACCTCCAATTTACCTTGATTCATGGACCTAACATTCCAGGTTCCTATGCAATATTGTTCTTTATAGCATTGGACTTTACTTTCACCACCAGATATATCCACAGCTGAGTGTTGTTTCCATTTTGGCCCAGTCTCTTCATTCTTTCTGGAGCTATTAGTAATTGCCCTCTGCTCTTCCCCAGTAGCATATTGGACAGCTTCTGATCTGGGGGGCTCATCTTCCTGTTTCATATGTTTTTGCCTTTTACTACCATTCATGGAGTTCTTGTGGCAAGAATACTGGAGTGGGTTGCCATTCCTCCTCCAGTGGACCATGGTTTGTCAGAACTCTTCACCCTGTCCTGTTGGTCTTGGTTGGTCCTACGTGGCATGGCTCATAGATTCACAGAGTTATGCAAGCCCCTTTGCCATGATAAGGCTGTAATACATGAACGGGTTTTCTACATGAGATTTCTAATTAAAATCGATGGAATTTTTTTAATAGTATGCATTATATAAGCATTACAGTTTTTTTCTCAGTGAAAATGTAGCAATAAAATATAAAATAGTTTTGGGAAGATAGATTGTGTTTCTTTTTGCTTCAAACGTTTTTCTAACTAAAATTCTTTTAGTCTGAAATGGAAGAAGTATGTAGTCTATAAATAATGTAGAAGTTTTTCCTTAATAAAAATACCACATGAAAAAATAAAATTATCTGGGGAAAATTTATTTTAAATATTTCCTTTTTTTTCCCCATAGCACTATTATATTATCTGTGTAAGTTCTATAATTATTTTCCAGAAAGTGTATAGCAGGCCTTGGGAATGTTAGTTCTAAGATATTCATTCAGAAATTTACTCATTTGAACCATGTCTGAGCCTTTGATTCCCTTGTCGTCCGGTGTTCCCCCCTCCCCCGCCATCTTGATTGCACTCTAATTGGACATGTCAGACTCTTTGATTGTATACAAAGAAGCCAATTGACTGTGGTTGAAACTCCATCCAGTGTCTTTAAAAAATTTGTGGTGTAGTGTTTTTGTGGTCATGGAACAGAACTGATTTTATGTTTGTTTATCAGTGAGCTACAGTGAGAGAAAAATTTACAGTTGGGATGAAAGTTTGACCAAAAATTGAATTCAGTGTTAATTATGGAAGACCAATTTTACCACAGAGAAATCCAGGTTGTGTATACATTTCTAGGTAGGCAGTGCCATCCTATAATATCAGCCTTCCCTTCTGGCCAGAGTTCAGTGTCCAGAGACGAGTTTTCTACCACTGACTGTAGAGAATAAAGAAACACTGACTGAAGGAGATGGTTCTGACTTTGAACTCCTAGGGAAGGCCGTATGTCCCCACATTTATACTCACAGGCCTCAGAAGGGAAAGGAATTGGGGGCTAGAGTGGTTTAGTCCAGTTTTCCTTCACATTCCACTGTCTGAGTAAGCTAGAAAGGAGAGCAGATAAATGGGCGGAAATTAGAATTGATCTCCATGGCAATGACTTGCCTCCGCTGGCTCCACAGATAGATAAGTGTTTAAGAGGGAGCTGTCTAGTCCCACACATTTGTAGATAAATAGACTGGGGGAAAAATTATGCTTTCAGGTACAAATATTATACTTCAGGCCCTTTTAAGGAGAGTTTTGTCAGTGATGCAGGCAAGGTCAGAACAGCTATAATTATCTAAGACTCTTCAGGCACAATACCTGTTTTGGCTTGAATTACTCAGGCAATTGAGAAAAATTCTTGTGTTTCTTGGCTTGACTTTTCCGTACTGGCAATATATTCTGCTCAGATTCATCCAGTCACTTCCCATCTACCCTCTCTCTGGTCTTATTGAAAGTATAGTAAGTTGTGCCACAGTCTATACTTTACATTTGTGAACAGAATGTGAGTCTGTTCAGACAATTGGAATGAACAGATGAACTCAGATTGCCTGAGCTGGGTGAGCTGAGGGGGATTCAGTGAGTTTCTTTGAGGTAGGGGACAGATTCCTCCTCTGCTGGGAGGAATTTCTTGACTCCCAGTATCTTTTTTTAAACTGTATTTTGAAGTACCAATAATTTAAAAAATATATCTCAGTGGCAGCCAGGGTTCATCCCCCAGCTCTGTTAGAAGCTGAGCTCAGTGGTTTTCAGTTTCCTATGCACACACCTCACCCTCTGTTCATCATTTCAATGTAGGTGGTCCCCAGGGTTCCAGCCTCATCCTCCTCACCCTAGTTGGCACTGATTCTGAAATCCAGATCTCCAACCCACACCTTTCCTATTTTCCAACCACTTACTTTTATCCTTTCAAACTCAGCATATCCTAAACTGAAGTCATTGTCTCTACTCGCCCTCCCCCTGTATCTGCTATTCATTTTTATTTCATAACTAAGTTTATAACATCACAGTCTACTGAATTTCTACTGAATCTTCCAAGTTAGAGGCCATGGTGTTATTCTTGCCTCCCATATCCATTCATGTCAATTTTGTTTCATGCACAGCTCAGAAAAGAAACAAAATTCCTACCATCCTGGAACACAGTATTTTGTGGGGAGGACAAACAATAAATAATGAAGTAAATGTTAAAAATAATGTTAGAAAATTAATTGAGGAAAGGGAGTATAGGCCATCAGAGAGTATATAATTCTATATAGGGAGTTAAGGAAGGCCTCTCTTTGGGACTGCCAATTGATTAGAGACTTGAATGAAATGAGGGAGTAAACCATGCATCTATCTTGGGAGAAGAGAGTTCCTGACAGAACAGCAAGTTCAAAGGTCCTGAGGTGGGAGTGTACTTGGTGTGCTGGAAAAATAACCAAAGAGACTGGTGGAGCTGAAACAGAGGGAGGGGGGAGGCTTGAGTGGTAGGAGATGAAATCAGAGGAGCAGGGTCAGGAATGAGGCAGGGATTTATATCAGTGTTAGAACCTTAGTGTAAGAATGCTACAAAGGCTCATTGAATGAAAAAAAGTAAGAGTTCAACTGAAGAATGGACAGAGATCTGTTAGATTTTGTAATTTTAGAGATCTATGTTCATGTGAATTCTATTTTGGGAGAGAAATGATTCATATTATCTGTTTTTTAGAGGTTGGACTTTTCAGGAATTGAACCTGATATAAAGCCATTTGAGGAAAAGTGCAATAAACGTTTCTTGGTAAATTGCCATGATTTAATGTTCAATATCTTGGGTCATGTTGGAGACAATGCAAAAGGACCACCCACAAACGTATGTATGACTTTTTCTTCTACCTCCCTTAAACCAGTACATTAAAAAAACTAGTTTCTTTTTTTTTTTTTTGCTGAGAACTAATTTACTGGGTGAAAATTCCATTGCTACATGTTACAATAAATTTGACATGGAAGAATTTTATTCATCTTTCTTTTGCCAGGATAAGAATATGTTTTCATCTTGAGAGGATTCATGAAAGTCTTACCTATTCAAAATAGTAGACAGAGTAGGTAGACTCTTGACCTTCAGAAGGGACATATCTCCAGAACCTAGAAAATCCTCAAATTTGTCAATTTTACTAGAGAATATGACTTCTGTGAAATAGCCATGAATAAGGAATACCAAAGCCATGGAGGAACACAGAGGCTGTGCAGTCAGCTTGTCTCACTATTCTCATAGAGTGAATTCATTGTGTTCTGCACAGAAAATTCTAATTATTAGCTGTCACGGATCATTTGAGCTGCTTAGGAATACTTGAAACTATGAATGTAAAATCGCCAAAGAGACTGCATTTTCTGTTCACCTTTTTTTTTTTTGGGAGGGGGAGGGAGTTCTAGTTTATGTTTGAAAAGTATCCAGTGATGATTTATTCTCTTATGAAGTAGCTGAGATGCATTAGCAGACTCTCGGTGTGTAAAGGGTTAATCTTTATGCCATCTGGCATGAAATTTCTCTTTGTGACCAGCTTTCAAATGCCATCTGTAGAGAGGAATCATGTCTTCCAAAACTGCTGATGGGGCAAAGCTTTTGTCAAGTAATTTGATTTTGACTGATATTAGCTCTTATTAAATGCATAATCCAGTAAGCCGTAGGATAGAAAAAGGGAAGATTTATTTCTACTGTGTAATACTGCCATTATTTTTAGGTAATTTCAATAAGCCTATGGAGAATTAAAGTTTATTCATAGAATAATTGATGCTCTTTAAGTGTGGCTTCTGATTTCTACTCATCATTTAAAAAAATTTATAACTTATGAAATTACACTGGACAAAAGTTACAATTTGAGAGTCTGTTATTTAGAAAGCTCTTTTTCATATGCAAATGAGCCATAGTACAATTTAGCTGAATGTTGAATTCAGAAAGAAACTGTAATCACAGAAACTTGAAGAATAAAAAAAAATTTGTGTAATTTGTATCCCTCCCCCATCCCACCTAAAATAAAAGTCATTGTTTAAAAATGTAATGTTTTTCATTCCTAGGTTGAACCCTTTTTTATTAATCTTGCCTTGTTTGATGTGAAGAACAACTGTAAGATTTCAGCTGACTTCCACGTAGACTTGAATCCCCCATCTGTCCGTGAAATGCTGTGGGGCCCTTCAAACCAACCAGCTACTGATGGTACCCCAAGAGGCTCTTCACCTGAATCTTTCATTCACGGAATTGCTGAATCTCAGTTACGCTACATAAAGCAGGTAAGAAATCTTTTAGCCTTGGTAGCATGTTACAAATAAGAAACAGAAAGACCCTTGGGTTCTTTCATAGTTTCAGGCCAATGTTTCAATGTTTTCATGGGCATTCCATCTTTTGTAGGGTCTGTGTATAGCTGTTTTTCTGGTGACTGAAGTTGGAGGGGATAAAAGGGAAAGCGGCAAATATGCTAATAATACCCTAGTGAAGTGGGACGTGATGGGAATCTCAAAGGAAGTATTTTGCGAGATGGAATGCAGATGACACAGACACACCCCTGGACTCATGCACATACTTTTGAGCAAGGCAATAAGTACCTGAAAGGCTGTTTTCTTTGAAGAAAAAGTTGACCCTAAAATAACCTTCCGTCTCCCATTCCCATTTCGAGTAGGTAGCTTTAATGGAGCATAAACACTCCTTACACAAGGAGTTCTTCTGTCGCAGCCATCCTGTCTGTTACAAAGAGTCCCTTTTAGAAGGAGCCGAACAATTCCCTTGCATTTTGACCTCTGATCAGACCAGAGGCCTTAAGAGGTTAGGCAGAGCAGAACTGACAGTCTGCTTTCTGTTTCTAGACTTTTGCAACTGAAAGGAAATTAGTGTTGCAGAGAACTAAAGCAGGAAGAAGCAGAGCAAAGTAGCTCACATTGTAAGGAGATTTATTTTACTGCAAATAAAAATGTTATTCCTTCCAAGTCTTGGCTATTGTAAATAGTGCTGCAGCGAACATTGGGTGCATGTGTCTTTTGAAAAGAAAGTGAGAGTCGCTCAGTTGTGTCCAACTCTTTACGACCCTATGAACTATACAGTTCATGGAATTCTCCAGGCCAGAATACTGGAGTGGGTAGCCTTTCCCTTCTCCAGGGGATCTTCCCAACCCAGGGATTGAACCCAGGTCTCCCACATTGCAGGTGGATTCTTTACCAGCTGAGCCATCAGGGAAGGATGTGTCTTTTAGAATTGTGGTTTTCTCAGGATACATGCCCTATTAGTGGGATTGCTGGGTCATATGGTAGTTGTATCCCTAGTTTTTAAAGGAATGTCCATATTGTTCTCTATAGTGGCTGTACCAATTTACATTCCCACCAACCATGTATATAATGCACTATTACTCAGCCATAAAAAGGAACGAATTTGAGTCAGTTGTAGTGAGGTGGGTGAACCTGGAACCTGTTCTATAGAATGAAGAAGTCAGAAAGAGAAAAACAAATATCATATATTAATTTATATATATACTATATATAATATGTATTATCATATCATATATATATTATCATATATCACACACACACATATATATGGAATCTAGAAAAATAGTACTGATGAACCCACTTGCAGGGAAGAGACGCAGAGAATTGACTTGTGGACACAGCAATGGAAGGAGAGGGTGGGACGAATTGAGAAAGTGTCACTGACATATGTACACTATCATGTGTAAGATAGCTAGCCAGTGGGAAGCTGCTGTGTAATACAGGGAGTCCGGCCTGGCGCTCTGTGATGACCTAGAGGAGTGGCATGGAAGGGGGTAGGGGCCCTAGAGGAAGGGGACATATATATAATTACTGCTGATTCGCACTGTATAGCACAAACCAAGACAACATCGTAAAACAGTTAATTCCCCGATTTAAAAAAAAGTTGCTTTTTTTCCTGATTGTAAAGATAAATACATTATTATGTAGAAAATTCAAAGAATACAAAAAGTACTAAAGAAGAAAATAAAAAATCACCACCCATAAATGATAACTATTAACATTTTGGCCAGCATGTTTCTAAATATCTCTGTTGTGTATATGTGAACACATACATTATGTGTACTCTTACAAACTGTATTATAGTCCTGCTGTTTTATACCTACTGTATTCATTCAACATCATGTTTATCATCCTGTATCACTCTCTGGATCAGTTACATTCTTATTAAAGAATAATATGATGATTTAGCTTATTAGGATATTTCTAATTTTGGCATATCATAAATAATGCTGCATTATTGCATCCTTGTAGCTCATTTGTATTATCTCCTTAGAATAAAGTTTAAGCAGTGGGCATTTTGGTGTCAAAGATTACGCTCATTGATACAGATTGCCCAATAGTAGGGGACCTGACATGTGTTGTCACTCCTCTCTATGGGCTGTGGATCTGTGGTCGCTTTTCCCCATGTTACCCCTCATTCCCTTGGTTTGTTACTCGACTGTGGTTGTCACATATATGAACATTTCACTCTGATGGCCTGTGCTTCTAAAAGAAAAATTGAGCAAAACTGTATTATAAGTATTGGAGAACCTGCTATTGAATTATATGTTGAAAATTTTCCACACAATACCAAATAAGTCCTTGTAAGCCAGTGATGTATTTGCTGCCTTATTTCAATGTGTTCAGCTGTCTGTTCAACGCAAGAAGTTTGACTTGTAGTTTCAGATGTCATGCCATTTATAACCCAGGTTGGAAGAAAATCAACATTTTTTTAATATCTCTTGTTGCCAGAATCTTCCACTGATGTCTCATGTAAACATGATTGTCTTATAAAATATGATTATGACTGTTTTGCAGATCAGGGAGGCTAAGTAAGCTGCCTACCATGGCAAAGCCAGTAGTGGTGAAGGAAGGATTTGAACCTAGGTCTGTTTGAAAGACCTGAGGCAACAAAATTAGGCAGAATGTAATTAAATGCTGATATGTATAACACATTGATCACTGAGGACATCTTTCTTATTTCTCCTTGCTCTTCTTTGGAACTCTGCATTCAAATGGGTATATCTTTCCTTTTCTCCTTTGCTTTTCACTTCTCTTTTCACAGTTATTTGTAAGGCCTCCTCAGACAACCATTTTACCTTTTTTGCATTTCTTTTTCATAGCGATGATCTTGACCACTGCCTCCTGTACAATGTCAGGAATCTCTGTCCATAGTTTTTCAGGCACTCCATCTATCAGATCTAATCCCTTGAATCTATTTGTCACTTCCACTGTGTAATCTTAAGGGATTTGATTGAGGTCATACCTGAATGGTCAAGTGGTTTTCCCTACTTTCTTCAATTTAAATCTGAATTTGGCAATAAGGAGTTCATGATCTGAGCCACAGTCAGCTCCCAGTCTTGTTTTTGCTGACTGTACAGAGCTTCTCCATCT